GCCATTGTTTACCAGCCAGTGAAGATCCCACGAATTCATATGATACATTTGGCATTATTCCATTCTTTTTAGTGTTTATAACTGCTATATAATCCACCATGGACCCAAAGAAAGCTTCTAGTGTCAGCCAGCCCTTTGGTAAAGGGCTGAGAGAGAGGGGAGAATGTGCCTTTTTCAGTGATTCTGCAATTTGTATGATACTAAAGCAGCAGGAGTCTATAAAGGCTATAGCGCCAGCTAGCGAAAAAGTATAGCATTAACAGTGTAGCAAGTAAGTTAAGTGATTAATTGATAGAAAAAAGACAGCACAAAACTGACTCCTCCATTGTTGTTGGAGGTATATAGGGTTACTGACTAACACTGCCGCCTCTGCTACCGCATTCACCACCACTTGTGACATTCTTAATGCCATATTTTATTGAAGAATTGAGACATGCAACATATGGGAATCTTTATTGAAGAAACGTTTCACCACACAGTGGCTTCATCAGTCCAATACAAAGTAGAAATGGGTAAGGAGAGGAGGAGTTTGAGGTAATCAGTCTCCCAGCCTGGAATCGATGTGTTCAGTCCATCACTCTTGTAGGAAGTACAGCATAGAGCCAGAGAGGTGGCTTATATACTGCAGTCAGGTGAGTCGAAGCAGGAGGGGGCAGGATCACAGTGGGACCTGCCACTAGTGTAAGTAGGTCTTCGTCCAAAGGTTGGACAAGCGTTGAAGAAGTCTTTGTACCAAGATCCCATGATGTTGCAGTGTCCGGCAGATGTGATGAATGGTTTTGAAAACTGACAAGTTGAAGAATTGAGACACTTATGCAACATACGGGAATCTTTATTGAAGAAACGTTTAGCCACACAGTGGCTTCATCACAACAGGATCACAGTGGAAGGTCCCACTGTGATCCCGCCGCCTCCTGCTTCGACTCACCTGACTGCAGTATTTAAGCAACCTCTCTGGCCCTATGCTGTACTTCCTACAAGAGTGATGGACTGAGCACATCGCTTAAGGGCTGAGGGACTGATTACCTCAAACTCCTCCTCTCCTTACCCATTTCTACTATGTATTGGACTGATGAAGCCACTGTGTGGCAAAACGTTTCTTCAACAAAGATTCCCATATGTTGCATAAGTGTTTCAATTCTTCAATGTGCCGGTTTTCAGAACCATTCATCACCATATTTTATTGTTTCTAGAGTATATATCATGTTTCTATGTTATTAATATTGTTTATTATGTCATATTAGATGAATTGAGCTGGATAAATAAGCTGTAGAACTGATATTAGTGTCATATTGAAGGACTATCTTGTCCTGTCTCCCAACACAATTCCAAACATATGCCAGAAACAGACCTCTCTGGAACACTTTTTTGAGTGACAAGGGTCCAGTGACTCTCAAGCTGGTCCTAGTGGCATTAAAAAACAAAGGAGGGAAGTAACCCAGGATAAGGACTTGGTACCAGAAGTCTTTATTGAAGGGGATTCCTCTTCCAAACAATTGTAAACTCCTCCATCCTCTCCCCTCCTCCCATCTTCCATACATTACCATGTCTTCAATAAAGGTAAGTGTGATGTTATTATTGTTTAATTCTTCATGTATCATTGCTTTCTGTATAGGTAAATGTATATTGTATGTTGAAAACTTTTTTTAATACTTTTGGGTGTCTGAAACAGATTAATTGGATTTCCATTATTTCTCACGGGGAAAATTAATTCGGAAAAAATCAGATTTGGGATAAATCACTCTCTCTGGAATGAATTAATTATGTGATATGGGGGTCCACTGTATTTCATCTAATTCTTTTGTATTTATGTATGTATTTTAGTATTAAGCAGTTTTTAAATTACATATTTTAGTATTGAGCAGTGTTTAAATTACGTATTTTATACAACCCATCAATGTATAATATGCCAATAACAGTAGGATTTTTTTTTATGGGAACGGATTAATCATTTTCCCTATATTTCTTATGGGAACACTCATTTGGTATATGTCCTGTTTGGTATAAGTCCAAGGACCTGGAACAGATTAAGGACGCATACCGAGGTACTGCTGTATTTTTAAATGTTTATACAGTAGTGTACTGTATATTGTAATAAAAGGAATAGAGGAAATCAGCTCTAATATTTAGGTATGCATACTAGTGAGAGAGCCTGTCCTAAGTCTGAGTCGTCGGTAAACGAGTACGTTGCTAATTGAGAAGTGGCTGTACTTTTTGTCTGTAAACCATTCAGAATCATCTCTATTTCTGTAACATATATTCCATTCTATCAAATAAGTCCAAGAAAATGAGAATACTACCATAAATACCATATGAAAATACACCACAAAATCGCTGTTTTAAACTAGAAATACGATTGGAGTTTTTTTTCCTCACACACTGCAGGAGTTTTTATACTGCACACACTGACCATTCAGACCCATTCTCTCACATGTAGGCCTAACAGATTTCTCCCACAAGACTGAAAGCCACTAGAATTTTGGCGTAGTATTACGGGACCGACACTGGCTTGCAAGCCTTAATATTGTGTGACTGACAGTGAAAGGGTTAAATGCAGGCTGGGGAAAGTTATGGTGTAGTGTGGTCAAGACTTTCACAGGTTTTCCTGCAGTTGAGAGCCAAGTGTAGGACATTGTTCAGCTGCAAGAAGATTGCCAGGTGTAGATGAAAAAAGAAGTCCAGAGGAAGTACTATTGGCAGAGCTCACTCTTCAGATACAAGGGAGGCAGATAACAAAGGAAGAAGAACCTGAAGAAAAACAGCTAACATTGCAACTCAACTGTTATGATAGTGGTTCCTTGTTGCTGCTAAATTAGCAGACTTTTTTTTTCACAGAAGAGGACTCTGACAATTCTAGAAGCATTACTCTGAAATGGGGCACAGAGCAGCTGATGATGCCTTACCTTCTGTTATATAAAGTACTGTAGGGTAAAAGATATCAGACTCATTACAGAATTTTTCAGTTCATTAGTACAACTATTGATATCAGTGCAAGAGCCTCATTCATCCACCTCAATCCAGTAGGACCACATCATCCCTCTTAACCTCTGTCAAAATCATGAATGTGCACCAGTAACCAGAATTAAAGGTAAGAAGTAATATGTAATCTTTGAAAGCATAAGTATTGTATTAAATATAAAACATCACTCAACATAACCCTATTTTTCCCTTATGTTTTTCAGTTCAGATTACGTGCTTCATTGAGGTATGTGTTATCCGATGGTGAACTCTACCTAAATGGGTATTATGATTCACTTATATCCTAATTCTCTGAAAAACACTGTTAATAAGGAGTTCAAAGATATCTACTTGGATGATTATAACTAAACTTACTTTTAATATTTGACAAGACCTACATGATGGTTTTCCCACTGTAAGACAAACCAAGGGAAAATTCTTAGGTTTGTATCTTGACTGCAATTTGAATTTCATTACCCACATCCAGTATATAACAGAGGCCTTCAAATCAGTAGGCATGCATTACAGTGTGCAGTGGACCCCCGAGTTTCATGATTAATCCGTTCCAGAGAGTCTGCCGAAAGTCGGAATTCGCGAATGTTGAGACCATTTTCCCCACAAGAAATAATGTAAATCCAATTAATCCATTTCAGACACCCGAAAGTATTAACAAACATTTTTTTTTTTATAGATTAAATGTAGATTTACTTACAGGAAAGAATGAGAAATCAAGTATAAAATAATAATAACATTACACTTACCTTTATTGAAGACTCTTGTTGGTGTATGGAAGACGGGAGGAGGGGAGAGGATGGAGAAGTCACTGGACCCCTGTTGCACAAAAAAAACTGTCCAGAGAGCTCTTGCAGCTCTATCCTCTACCACCATCACTACCACCCTCTACCATCACTACCACCCTCTACCACCATCATTGCCACCCTCTACCACCATCATTACCACCCTCTGCCACCATCACAACTGCTACCACCCCTCTACCACCATCACCATTTTTGTATTTTTCTTCAAATTTTTTCTTTAATTCTATCATGTTTCTCACCTTCTTTACCAAAGGGATGGCACTAGAAGCTTTGTTTGGGCCCATGGTGGCTTATATAGCAGTTGCAAGCATTAAAAAGAATGGATTATTACGAAATGTATCGTATGAATGCGTGGGGTTATGGTCATTCTCCCACAAACAATGCCACACTGACTCCTTTGTGTATGGAATGTGTCTGGGCATGTGCGCATTCCATACAATGGACGAATAGCGAGGAAAATCATGAACCGTGAGGCTTTATTTTGATGAAAAAAGTTACCAAAAGTCAAAATTCACAAAGCGCAAGGCTCACAAAACTCTGGGGTCCACTGTACTTCAGACTGAAATGTGATGCCCATGCAACTCTAGAAAGCTTGCCAAGGAATGAATGATGGTAGATGTGTTTTCTTTCTTTGGACAAACCATCCAAAGTGGAAATGGTGATTGTTTTTTTTTTTATGCATAATAGTACAGGGATCCCAGTGGAAATAAGTCACTTCGTCTTACTTTTTTGGGTTATCCTAGGTAATCTACATTATTATTATAATAAAAAAGAAGTGCTAAACCAGGTAATATACACATGTTGCTATGTATGATAATTTATGTTACTGTATTTGTGTACCTGTACCTGAATACACTTACTAATTAACCCCTAAACGGTCCAAACGTACATATACGTTCATGTGCGTAGCGCCCCAAATGTATATATACGTTTTCTTTGTCATTTATTCATCATTGCCGCTATAAGCCTGAGTAGCCTAGACATGAATGGGTGTGCGCACTCACTGTGTGGCATATTAAAATAATTGGGGATGCCTGGGTACCATATGCTCTTTTTTCCTATTAAAAAAAAAACAATTTTTTTTTCTCAAAAAAATTGGGGCGCTACACGAGTGGACGTATATATACATTTGGACCGTTTAGGGGTTAACTGGTAATTTCCAAAAAATCAGTAGAGCGGGGTCAAGAAAATAAGAGCTCTAAATCTAACTTTCTGTTTTGGTAGGTTCATCGATACACACATGCCGGCCACCTTATAGAACCACCTTATTCACCTTCCTGCTATGCATCATATCACAAGGTTATCAGGATGTCCGTGTTGTGGGGAGGAGAGCCAATGTTTCACCAGATGGCTCAAGTGCATGCCTGGAATTCTACTTTGGCCTTCCTTCATAAACACCTTTCTTTTCCTAAGGGAAAACTCTGAATAAACAGAAAATTAACTAATATTGTGCCTTAAATTTATTGTGAATGTATTTTTGATAGTTTATCCTAATTATTGTATAGCTCAAGTGCATGAAAAATGAAAATGAAAATGTTTATTTCCTTGCAAAGCTTACAATGTGTGGTTTACATATTATAAAATATTAATTACAAAGAAGGCAACTAGCATGCCTAGGTATTTCAGGCAGACTAATCCTAAGTCTTACTCTCTGTTGACCAGTAGGGCCCCACTTATATGGCAGGTTAGGTTCCAAGCTACTGCCGCAAAGCAGACATCACCAGAAAGCAGAACGTCATTTTTTTCCACTTATAAATGCATATACAGTGGAACTCTAGTTTTTGTAATTAATCCGTTCCAGAAGGTCATTCTGAATCCAAAACGTATGAAAACCAAATTAATATTTCCCATAAGAAATAATTAATCTGTTCCAGACACCCAAAAATATTAAAAAAAAATAAATTAAGTTAGTAATAGAACTTGGCATTAAAAAACACAATAAAAAATAAAATACATACACAGTACATTCATTACTTACCTTAAAATATTTGTAGTTTTAATGCAGGGTGAGAGGTGAGTAGTATTTATTTGTAGGAAGTCAGTGTAGGTAGCTGTTAGGTGTAGCCTGGGATACACCTACTGGCTACCTACACTAAGGCCTTGAGTCATATTATTACCATTGACATTCTGTGTTCACTGAGTTTAATTGTTTCTAACAACTACCGTTAGATGCCATCATAAACAAAGGGAGGAGTAATGAATAATTCATTCTGAGAATTGTAAACAAAAGGGTGGTTACTGGGCCAACGCAGATTCATATATGTTTTCTCTGAAGCTGGGCCAGAGAAAATGTAATGTTTTCCTTCCATCGACTGCCACCCCTCCATGGCATATAAACATTGCATGTTTATATGCTATGTAACATGTTTCTTATATAATTTTGAAGAAAATACCATAGATGGATTAATGAAAATGTCTATATTAACGTAAAATAAGACATTTAATGTGCCCAAGAGTGATTATTTTTAAACATAGCATATAAGCATGCAATGTAACATGTTTCTTATATAATGTTGGAGAAAATATCATAGATGGATTAATGAAAATGTCTATATTAACGTAAAATATGACATTTAATGTGCCCAAGAGTGATTATTACGTATTAGTATTATTACTATGGCGTTAAGACTAGAGGGACACTCTTAATAAACAAATAACAAAGGCATGTTTATATGCTATGTAATGTGTTTCTCATATAATTTGGAAGAAAATATCATAGATGGATTAATGAAAATGTCTATGTGGAAAATATTTCAATTTTCCGAAACTATAGTGCCTAATAGGTGTTTAATATGTCGATATGAGTCAAAAATGTATTTGACGATAGGACAGAACCAAGAGTTCCCTTTGCGCATGCGCGGATGTGCGGGGGTAGAGGTCGACTCGGGGCATGGGGGAGGCGGGAGTTTTTTGAATGTAGTGAGGAGGCTGGGAAAGCATGGAACCAGGAAATTGGCATTTACGGCGGCCTAAGGATTAATATAGGCCTCATTTCATAATAGGAAGTGTCGTGACTGTCCCTGGTGAAGAGTGAGGGAACGTGATTGACGGCACCGCTGTAAATAAGGTGGTAAAATGAGTGAATAATGGTAGGACCGGGGGTGATTGGTGCATCGCCATAGACTGTGTCCCAGGGAAAATTACCCGTGATTTAATCATCACTCATCGGTCTCAAATCTTAATGGAGTGGCCTCCAATGTGTATAATAATTATGAGACATTAAACCGTTTTGTAAATCGTAATGTAATCAGTGATAATAATACTAAGTTAAGGAATCGTTGAAGCAATATGAGCTGCCATTCCCAGAGTGTGTGTGCACATGTTTACCTCATTGTTCCTGTCCCGAGGATAGGGAAGGCTTTATGGAGTCACGACTTCTAAACCGGGACAAACCGACGGATACCTCGTCCTGCTGGAATAAGAACCGTGTCGGTGTAGCAGGACATCGAAATGAGATGGTGAATGGAGGAAATAAGGAGTATCAATCACCCACAGTTAAGTAACCCTTCTAGTTATAGCAGACTGATACTGGCCAGTTAGGTATGTTGTAATTGGATAGGTTATGAGTGATCCAGCTACATCAAGTGACCACCAGAGAATATCTTGTAAGTGGAGAGATTATGTACAAGTGTTTTTCCTTGATGGATATATCCATGTGTAACCTACCCCCCCCCCCCTTCATTCAGGTACACTAATATAATCTATACAGTCCACAATTATTTATTTATTTAGTAATTTAAGCATACATACAGAGGTACAAAAAATACAGGTAAGAGCAGCATGCCAAAGCCACTTATATGCATAGCATTACGGGCTGGCTTAAAATTAACTTAAGATTAACTAAGCAATGATGAAATCAGTGATAAAACATTATTGTAAACAGATAACTATAAAGCACAAATGAGTATTACAAAGACAGGTCATATGGTTGCATGCATTGCTGTACATCCAGTCGAATGGAGTATTCCGTTAGGTAGTGTATTTAAAAAAATAACAAAGTTAGATTGGGTCCTAGGTTTAACATTTGTGTGATATAATTGTGAGTAACATATAGGATATACAATTTATAAGGTTCAGTTATTCAGTATTTATTTGGTTTTGAGTGAGTAAGTGATCTTTGAGAAGAGACTTGAATTTATAAACAGGTAGTGTTTCTTTTATATTTACAGGTAATGAATTCCATATTTTAGGGCCTTTTATGTGCATTGAGTTTTTGCATAGCGTGAGATGGACACGAGGAACATCAAAGAGTGATCTGTTGCCTTGTGTTATGGTCATGTGTTCTGTTGAGGTTGGCAAGGAGATGTTTGAGGGGAGGGTTAATATCAGAGTTAAGTGTTCTATGTATGTAATAGGTGCAGTAATAAGTATGGATGTTTTGTATGGTGAGTAGGTTGAGTGTTTTGAATATTGGTGGAGTGTGCTGCCTGTAGTGAAAATTTGTTATCATTCTAACTGCAGCCTTTTGTTGGGTAATTAGTGGTCTGAGATGGTTAATTGTTGTTTGAGCCCCAATGCACAAATTCCATAGGTGAGATAGGGGTAAATAAGAGAGTGATGATAAGGGCCAGGAGGGCTGACTGTGGAACATAGTACCGTATCTTCGATAGTATGCCTACAGTCTTGGAAATTTTCTTAGAAATTTGTTTTATATGTGTATGAAATTTGAGTCTATTATCAAGGTGGATTCCTAAGAATTTTCCCTCTGTTAGCTTTGTGATAGGTGATCTGTTTATCGTTATGTTAAGAGGTACATCTGTAGCTCTGTTACCAAACTGAATGAAGTAGGTTTTGTCAATGTTTAGTGTAAGTTTGTTAGTCCTCATCCAGGTAGATATTTTCTGTAATTCGGTGTTTACAGTATTGGCTAGCGTGACTGGGCTCAGGTGAGAGAAGACGTATGTAGTGTCATCTGCAAAAGGTGTGGGTTTGAGTAATTGCGAAGCATTTGGTAGGTCATTTATGTATAGGAGAAAGAGAAGAGGGCCAAGGACACTTCCCTGTGGGACACCAACTGTAATTGGTTGAGCGGAAGAGCTTGCCCCATTTGCGTACACATATTAGCTTCTGTTGCTGAGGTATGACTTGAGGTAGTTGAGGGAGTGCCCTCTAATACCATAGTGTGACAATTTTACGTGGAGCAAGTCATGGTCAACTGTATCAAAAGCTTTACGTAAGTCAATGAAGATCCCCAGTGGGACTTCTTTTTTCTCTATTGCAGTGTATATATGTTTCTAGCATGTGTATAATAGCATCATTAGTATTTTATTAGGCCTGAATCCAAATTGGCAGGGCTTGAGAATGTTTTGGGAGATGAGGTAGGAGTAGATTCGTTTATGAATTAATTTTTCGAAGATTTTTGAGAGAGGGTGTAAATTGGATACTGGCCTATAGTTATTCAACTCTGTTTGGTCTCCTCCTTTATGGATCGGGGTGACCCTTGCTATTTTGAGAGCTGTAGGGAAGGTGGAGGATTCAATGGATTTGTTAAAGAGTGTTGCAATGATTGGTGATAGTACTTGTGACACTTTTTTGTATATAAAGGGTGGTAAGGTATTTAAATCTCCTTCCTTGTTTTTTAGTGTGTTGATAATAAGGGGGACTTCGTATGGGTTAGTCGGAGCTAGGAACAATGTGTTCGGGTAGTTGCCAGTGAGGTAGTCATTTGGTGGGGTATCTGAGCTTGGGATTTTATTGGCAAGGTTTTGTCCTATAGTGGAGAAGAAATCATTGAGTCTGTTTGCTGTTTCTGTTGGTGGGTGGTAAGGTGGTAAGGTATTTAAATCTCCTTCCTTGTTTTTTAGTGTGTTGATAATAAGGGGGACTTCGTATGGGTTAGTCGGAGCTAGGAACAGTGTGTTCGGGTAGTTGCCAGTGAGGTAGTCATTTGGTGGGGTATCTGAGCTTGGGATTTTATTGGCAAGGTTTTGTCCTATAGTGGAGAAGAAATCATTGAGTCTGTTTGCTGTTTCTGTTGGTGGGAGTTGGGGTTCATCTGATTTTGCTAATTTTATTTCGCTATTTCGTGATATCTTTTTTGTTCCCAGAATTTCTGATAGGGTCTTCCAGGTCTTTTTTATATCACCTCGTAAGTTGGATAATCTTTTCTCATAATACAGTTTTTTTGCCCTTCTTATCAGGCTGGTTAGGATTGAGGAGTAACATTTTGTTTGGTCTCTGGTTATGTGACCCTTTCTGTACTGTTTTCATATTGGTGTTTTGTATTTATGGATTTGAGAATGCTGGGTGTTAGCCAGGGACTCTTCAGTCTCTTAGCTGTCATCTGTTTAGTTTTTTTATGGCAGTGCTTGTTATAGAGGTATTGGGCCCTTTTTTAGAAAATTATTAAAACATTCGTCAATATCTGTATAGTTTCTAGCTCAGTGTGCCAGTTTAATGTTTGTTACTGCTGTTTTGAAGTTATTAAAGGCTGCCTCATTGTGAAGTCGAAGGTGACTTTAGTAGTGTCTTGGGGTATTTTTTCCAAAAAGTTGTTATGAGGAAGTAGGGTAGTGGTCTGTGGTATTATCTGTAATTATGCCTGATTTTAAAGGGGATATGGTGTTGGTCCAGATGTGGTTAAGTAGGGAAACACTAGTCTCCGTTTAAATCTTGTAGGTTTTGTTACTGTTGGTAGCAACATGCAGTTACTCATTGTGTTTGTGAATTCAGTAACGTGTGGGTCCTGGTCTTGCAGGAGATTTATATTGAAGTCACCTGAGAGTAGTAAGTGATCTTTGTTCATGTGTGCATCAGTTATCATACTTCCTAGGTTTTGACTAAATTGGCTAATGTTTGATTGTGGAACTCTGTAGATGTTTATCACTGTGAGAGGTTTTTTGTAGGTATTTGGATTTGAATTTAGCTATTATATATTCCCCATGTTCATCCCTTGTGCAAGTATTAGTGATACATTCTAGTTGATCTGAGTAGTATATAGCTGTGCCACCCCCTTGTTGGTCTGGCCTACAGTTGTGTATGGCTGTGTAACCAGGAATGGCATAGACATCTGTAGTATCAGGCTTTAGTCAGGTTTCAGTTAGTGTAATGATGGACATATTGGCATGCAAGGAATTTAGTAATGCTAGGAGGTCATCGTAATGCTTGCTTAAAGATCTGATATTGTAGTTAAAGATAGTTATGTTGTTGTTGGCTCTGAGAAGTGCCTTTGATTGTTCTACTGTGTAGTAATTACAGTAACTGTTTGAATCATTTAAGTCATTAAATAAGAGGTTGGTATCAGGATCAATGCTTGTAATCATAAGATTTGTAGTGAATCTACAGTTAGAATTAAGTATAAAACAAAGTAAATATTCTAAAGCTAAAAAAATAGCACCTGAATTATTTAACAAATGTAAAAATAATGAGCTAAGGTAGTTTTTTAAAGCTAAAATAAAGGAGACAATATAAAAGGGACTAAAATAATTTGTGGTGAACAAATAAAGTGATGATCAAATAATGGAGCTTGGGAATATGATAGTAGGTAGTACTTTAAAGGTAATTCTTTAAAGTTAGAATTATAATATAAAATTATAATATAAAAGGGACTAATATAAGTTGTGGTGAACAATAAAGTGGTAATGGGCAGGCTTAAAATTAACAAGCAATGAAAGGTTCAGTGGTAAAAATTACCATAAATAATTTACAATATGAAGTACAATTGAGTATTTGAAACAATGGAATTTGAACATTTCGGTATAGAAGCATTATCGTTGTACAAATTTGTCGCAATACAATGTATAACAAACAAAATGATCAATTTACTGTATGTTGTCTTGAAGTTTTAAGATTTAAGTAATTGGGAGAATTATTGGTAATGTTAAATAGGGTTAAATAGGGTGAGTAAGGAGATTAAAACGAATAAACGAGAGAGAGAGAGAACGATTAAGATGACAGAGCCGCAGAGTACTTATGTAAACAAACCCTCAGGTTATGGTTGATACACTTTTATACAAACGCCTTACATCGTGTACAAGTTGTCTCCACAGTGGTACAGTAGAGTAAATAAAGATCAACACTTCCATTCTCATGTAATTTTTAGAAGGAATGATGCTCTGACAAATTATAATTATTACAAATTATTATTATTGTTATAATCATAATAAAAAAGAAGTGCTAAATCCACAAGGGTCGTGAATAGCTATAGAGTGAAGGCATACGAAAGGAATATTTTTCTACAGTTAAGTAACTGGTGTTTGACTAGAGAAAACGTAATTCTTCTGACACTCATACAAACCGCTTGGTAAACAAATCTCATATGTCAGTTTTTATACTGAGGGTGTATGTATCATGTTTATATGTTACGTAGTGTGTTTATTGTATAATTTTGAAAAAAAATCATAGATGGATTAATGAAAATGTCTATGTTAACGTAATATACGACATTTAATGCGCCCAAGAGATTATATGGCATCAGGAGTAGAGAGAGACTTAGTGATTTTAAGGTGTACCTGCATGCCAGCACAGTGTGTAAGTATATTTAGGTACAGGTACACACATGTATAATTATCAGAGTACAGTGGACCCCCGCATAACGATGCCATCACATAGCGATTAATCCGCATACCGCTTGCTTTAATCGCAAAAATTTTGCCTCACATACCGCTTAAAAACCCGCTCACCGATTTTCGTCCGAGACGCGTCCAATGTGCGGCCTGAGCCACGCTCACATGTTCCGCCGGTGGCATTGTTTACCAGCCAGCCTCCGCGGTAACATCCAAGCATACAATCGGAATATTTCGTATTATTACAGTGTTTTCGGTGCTTTTTCTGGAAAATAAGTGACCATGGGCCCCAAGAAAGCTTCTAGTCCCCAACCCTACAGCAATAAGGGTGAGAATTACAATAGAGATGAAGAAAAAGATCATTGATAAGTATGAAAGTGGAGTGCGTGTCTCTGAGCTGGCCAAGTTGTATAATAAACCCCAATCAACCATTGCTACTATTGGTGGTACAGCTGCTGCTGCTGCTGCACTGTCAGCTGCTGGCTGCTGCTGTAGCATCTTTCTGCTGCTGCTGTAACATCGTCTTTTTGCTGCTGTAGACATCGTCTGCTGCTGGCGTGCATCGTCTGTTGCTGCTGTACCACCGTCAGCTGCTGCTGCTGCTGCTGTAGCACCGTTTTTGGGGTTTGTGGCTTATTGAGAATCCCAAGAACAATTAACCCCAGAGGTTTTGGGCCACCCAGGATACCC